GAACAGGTCTTTGCCCTGAAAAACCTTCATCACATTGTTGATGTATTCTGGGCAGAAATCTCTGAATCTGTGGATAAAATGTGAGTTTACATAGATTGTACATTTTATCTCTAAAAACACAACGTACTTGTAACTTCTCAAACTGTAATGCTGGGCAAATGTCAACAGGGTGCCTGGATGTCCATCTCACCAAAGCTTGTTTCCCTGACTAAGGATTGTCATTTTCAATTTGCTGTTCCCACTCTTGTATGCAATATTAACCTCTTATCAACCGAGCGTGAGTGCCGTTATAGGGAATATTGGCCTGAGGTCCATACAAAAATAACCGAGGGTCAATATTCCCCAGTATGGCAAAATCGCGACCAAGAAAGAACCAATCAGAATTGCTCAGATTTACCTCAAGACTACCTTGCCATAAAAGAAATACACTCTTTATTTGCCCGGCAACTTTCATGTACACATAGCCAAAATATTTTGACATTTAGATTATCTTTCTTTTGGGTGGGGAGGATTTAGAAATTTTAATGATCAGTTCTCCCTACTTAAGACTACATTTATCACTTAGTGTTTTGCTACATGTACAGTGTAATTAAGTTAAACATTGCATGCACATACACGTAGCTTCACTTTACATGAATATATCATTCCATGGAACAGCAATTGTAAAGATGAACCAAAGATTTTAGCATACACTACATTTTGTATTTTCAAACAATTCCTGTCTTCCCTAATGTAGACTAGTCCCATTCAATCATTTCAAATCATTTCCTGGACATTTACACTGTAGTAAGATTGCTAAAGACTTCCTTAAAAGATTTTCAGGAAGAGCCAATGATGTTGGAACCTTATTTCTTAAGTACATTCACCTCACCAAGTGCTAGTTCCATCCACTGTACATTCATTGAGTAATTGTTAACTTATGTTTTGACTCACCTTGTGAACAGTGAAGTATTGTATGAAGATGAAGCCTTCAAGCAAAGACAGCTGTCAGCTCTGTTGGCATCAAAGGTAAAATAAAATATTGAACGACTATAGAAAGAGGTTCCATCTTCATCAGT